CGGGTGGTGCTAGTATTCACATACAGAATTGCAAATAAAAGCCAAAAACCACCAACTGCATTCCAGAGATTTCTGACTGTATTTGTCAAGACTTTGTCGCATTCTTTTTTGATACAGTTTCGACACAGTTAATGATGTCTCCTCTACATTGGGTACAAGGAGGATGAGCCTGTATAATCCAATCAGAACAAAAATGAAGAGTTCACCCAGGCCAATGGAGAAGTAAGGAGTGGTTGGAGGGATGACTCGGACATGACGGCTTGAGGAAGTCAAGTTTTTCAGCTCCAGTGTTGTCTAAGACAGGACAGGACATGTTACCGTGCATCATCTCACAGTAAAAGATGCTGAAGTCTTGGATGTTCTGAATTCTTGGCACTGATGTGTAAGGCTGTGTAAGTCACTGAAACTTCTGAAACATACCTCATAAACATGTCCCACACTGTAGTCAGTAAAAACCACCACTGACGGTTTTGCTAGGAAGACTGGGACAGGATCATCAGTGGAGCTTTCAGACAGAGAGAGCACAAACAAAACAACACCTGAGTATTCTGTGTGTTCTCAGCAGAAACAGTCTTGCAGGAAGTGGTGAGCTAGGTGACAAGCTGCCAGCATAAAAGCCTTCAAAACCACAAAGCAAATGTTTCAGTCTTGTGTTCAGTTCCAAGCTGAAGCTGCACTGATATCACAAAAAGCAGTTCTTATTAAAGACTACTTCAAACCAAGGCCCTGAGTCTAACTGCTGACCCCATAATGAACACTGTGTGCATTTTAAGCAGAAATGAAAATGGAGTCATGCACATATACACAAATACAAACCTGATGTCCTATGCCATTACACACAAAGTAAAACCAAAAGTGCTGACAAAAATCAACTAAACCATGCATATGTACATATGTATTTATCTTAATTCATATATTTCACAAAGAAGCAAAGTACCGCACTCATGTGGTATATCCTACAATTAGTTGTGACTAACAGTATTCGTATTCACAAGCAAAACATGAGGTGCAGAGTTGTTTGCATTGAGGTAAATGGCACTTGTGTTTGCAGCTAATATTGAAAAGGGATTGTCTGAGCTAAGTTTATTGTATTCCGTCAACTAACCCCTAACCCATACATGATTTTCATGTGACCCACTGTGTCAGTACCCTGCTTTTTTATAGTTGTTGCCCTGTGACAAAATGATAAGTCAGCACATTCCAGGTACCTTTGCTCCTCCACCCCTTTCCTCTCATGTTCTGCCTTCACCACTTTGGACCTAGGCTGGATGAGGGACATGCCGCCACGCTGTGCATTTGGAGGAAGGAAGTGAGGATTGCGTAGGAACCTGTGTCGATCTTTCAGTTTCTGAAGTTTCTGCAACGCCTCTGCCTTATCCTTTGCACTTGGCTCCCCCTTCCACTTTGGTCTGGGTTTGGTTTGATTTGGCTTCTGAAACACATGGAGTGTTATGGACAGAATTTAATAATGATTTATATCCCACATTTATAGTACATTGATGTAATTACAACTCCCTCCTTCCCAGAGGAACTCAGGCTTGCCAGATCAGAATTATCGTTAACGTCATTTTCAAAACTCAGAGGAACGCCTTTTAATTAAGTTTAATTTAATTTTTTATGTCCTGTAATGTCCCTGTTGTCTCTTTTGTTGTTAAAATCTTTTGTTTCAGTGGTTTATCTACTCTTTTCACTGTCTTCACTAGGATGTTTTAATTGTATTTAGGAATAAAAATTATATTGCATAAATTCATACAGTAAATTATTCAGAATTAAGGATTAAGTATCACTCTTGCTAGCTCTGTCATATCTAAAGGATATAAGCTACTTATTCCTCACCTCTTTGGGAGTTTTCTTCCTCTTTGGGGTATCTGAGCTGGACTCGAAAGTCAGGCTGAGATCTGACTCGTTCATTTCTAATACAATCTTTTCTGGACTGGGAATCAGTGTATAACCATCATCCTGAGGCTCCTTGGACACATGCATGGCGTAGGCAAGGGTGGGTTTGGCAGGATTTGATTTTACTGACAAGAAAAGTATAAGTGTAATAGTGAGTGAAGACACATTCATAAATAATTATAGATTTAAGGAATTTGGGAAGATATTTAAGAGGGTCAGGTACCTCCTGCTGGTGCTCCAACTCGTGGTTTTTGTGTAGGTAAGTAGTCCTGGGGGGAAATCAGGTTGTTCATTTTGAGAAGGTCTTCGTCTAAGCACCAGGAAAATTCTGAGTTGACAGTGGTTGCAGCCCGAGCTCTTGCCTGAATTATATGACTCTCAAGCATGTCTGCCTTCTTTATACAATGGCTGTATTCAGAATGAGCCTATGTGTTGGAGGAAGAAAAAAATCAAGTAATAATGATACTAATTATTTTAACAGTACTCCTAACACTGAATTATGAAGCATACAGTTCAGTTTGGCATTGTTACTAACAGTGTTAGGTTACCTGTTGAAGCTCTTCAACATATTTGTCATGGTAGCTGCTTTGTCCACTCTTTGTCTTGATAAGGTTGGACAAAGTGTCTTTCCCGATGATGTCTTTTGTGTACAGGTCCTTGAAAATGCTTGCTAACACGTGAGAAATGTCCTAAAATTCAATAGGGACGAGGCAGCTTTAAAATAGCAGTGATTTCCATGATGTTAAGTGTGAAAAGGCTATTGTGCATCCTACCTGTGATTTTCCTGAGGCGGGTCTGTGACTGCTCACAGAAGGGCTCGTCCCTGGTTCTTGAAGCATAGCTGACACAGTAGTTTCCATTTAGCTAATGCTAAATGTTTAACTTGCTAAACAGCTAACCTAGCGTTAGCACGGTAACCTTGAAATAACTTGGTTTATGACCACGTAAAAGTCAACGTCAAACCCATACATGTAGCGCGTTAGCAAGACGTTAAAAAACATACGTGTAGCCTATACCATAATGTAAATGAAATCCTCAGCTGCTTGTTGCTTGTTAGCAAGGTTTGTGTACATGTGGTTGCCATAGCAACAACCAAAGGTCTCAGGCAAGAAAGAAATCGCAGGAAGACTTGTGCCCCTCCCAAAGACACAAACATTAAGAAAAAATAGTTTTATCATGTTTATTTTTTAGTGTAGTTTGTTTTTATATAACTATAGCTGTTTTGTATTCGAGAGAGCATAGTCCAGTTGCTTAAATTTGTATGTTTTCGGCACAGTTACTCCAATATATCATATCAATCATAAATTCAAAGACAATTTTAATTGTAATTTTACACATATTTTTTCATTAGGGAAGAGTCCCATGTGTTATATATTCACAACTAATGGAATATTAATTAATGCATTTAAATTAATCCGTCAGCAATTTGGGTGTGATATAAGCAGCTAATTTCATATGTAAAGCTAATACAGTCTCTGTTGCACCAAACAGTACAGGATATTTTATACTTCATTTATTTTCTGTCTGGCATCAAAGAATCACACCTACAATGTATTTGAATTAGAGGAAAGAATATGGCCTGTGGAGGAAGCAGTTTATGGGAAGTATGCAAATAAGTAATATAACATTTTGTCTACATTTGATCAACTTAGTGAATCATCAAAGAGATATTCAATAAATTCATTACCAGCAGTTGCAATAACTGATCACTAGTTCTAAAGGTTTCAATCACGTTTTTCAGTTGATGTTAACAATTTCAATCAATGTAGGCCTATTATTCACAACCTCGGGAGAATAGATGCAACCCTTTTATTAAACAATCACACATGCATAATGTTCTGTCATATGAGGTGTGGCCTTGTCCCTGTTACCCAAGTGATTCATTTCCATTAGGCTACATAGAAAGGATAGCTGGCTGTTCTTGCATAATGCAGAAGTACAAACAGGTACTGAAAAGGTTCATGTAAGCAGATCAGGTTTCACCATATTGTGTGTTTTCAAAGCTTCATGGAGCCCAGGCAAAGACAAAAAAAGAGCAGTTGCTGTGGAAAAAACAATCCTAATGAAATATAACAATCAAGAGTTTAAGAGGTCAAGATTCCAAATTCACCCAAAACAAACTCTTTGGCTGTGTTGATCAGCTCATGTAGCGCTCAAGTGGGATTCTCAAAGAGGCGATTGTTGAACTCACTTTGTAGCTCCTCGTGGTTCGACAGACAGAGCAGTTTTTTTTTTTCTTTTTACAAGACTTGCCCCAGCACGAGAGTTCATAGGACAGAAAAGGCTGGCAGACACTGATAATAGAGAGGCACAAAGAGGGATCTGTCTAAGCCCTCAGATATGACATTCTAACAATGAACAGCAGCTTGTGCAACCAATGCACAAACAATATTCATCCATTATTTCATATTAGTGACACCAAAAAAAAAAAAAAAGGTTCGGTCCAGATAGTGCACACAAGATGGGATAGGCATGCATGATAAATAACACCTGCTGCGCTGTGTTCAGCTTTGATTTGTTTCTTTTGCTCATGTTTCTGTGCTTGAAACAACACTGTGCTGAAATGTCTGTTAAGGATTGATGCCTTTAGCCGCTGTCAGTAGGCCTTCATCCTGTAAAGACCTCAAGCATTACAGTAATGATGGCTACAGACATGGTGTGATGTGGAGTGATGATACATCCAACATTAACTATGTGGTATAGGGGAGAAAAGGTGGAGGGAAGAGGCAGGCAGGAACGCACGCCACACTGTAAATCGCAGGTCTGTACCAGACTGGGACAACACCCTGAATAAATCAAAATACACTCTAGAGGCTAGAATCTACATAAAATTACAAAACAACATCAGGTTAATGCACGTAAAAATAAAAAGGTTCAATACAGCACAATCTTATCAATGTTTAGTCCTTGTGCATGTGTTTATTTTTGTCTGTGTTGGTGGAATTCCATCCAAAGGTGTAGTTTCCACTGGCAGGGAGTTGAATGAAAGTCATGAGAGAAAACACAGTGCTGTACTTGTCAGACCGGTGTTGCAGTGGGTGTGGGCTGAGGGCGCATATAAGAGTCTGATGGGCTGGCATTAACTGCGCACTGTGTGGGTCGGCTCAGAGGGGGACACAGATTGGATTTTTCCCTACATAGGACAAACAGACTAGCTTTATGGTGGTGATAATTCCCATCATATAACTGAGAGTGTTCTGGACAAGAAGAGGACTTTATCCCTGGTGCATGGTGATTTATTTTGACTGAAATCAGAATGGAGGCAAATGGCACAGCTGGGAAGTTTGGTGAGTGGTGACTTACAGATTTACTGTCTAATTACTATCTGTATTAAAGAGCTCACATGCTGTAATGTTTCCATCTATGTCCTAGGGTGTCATTTCTGGGCTGGATTCAGACCTCCACTTTATGTATGGAAAAATAGTTTGACCAGCTTTTATCTTCATGGCACGATATAATCTGTTTATAAACTACTTGTGGTTTCGTCCTCAGAGAAATGCTTCCCGATTTTATGATCTATGCTGCTTTTTGTTTTCCTGTATATTAAATTTTTATGTTGATGTTCAGGGTGGGGTGAATGGTTTTGTTTGGTGACATATTTCTGTTGCTAGAACAATATCACATTTCATACAGCAGGAGAGTGAAGTATGTTGGTTTCACAATCTCATGCTTCACTGTAATTTATAACTACATGCATGTGGCCTGTGTTGCCTGCTGATGATCGCTGACAGATTTAAAAGGACTGGGTGGATCCGTGTTATAACGTATCTATAAGGACACTGAAACATTTTATGTCCAATTAAATTAAAGTTTCAAGCGCGGGGCAATCCAACCAGAGCTGCATTTTTTATATACTTCTTATCATAGGGTGGCGCTATTTCACAGCTCAGTAGTTCTGTGAGGATTCAATAACATGTAAAGTTAAATACTATTGATTTTAATGGAGTGTGGAAACAGACAGAGTAGCAGATCCAGCCGAGTCCATATAAAAAAAAAGAAATGTGTGTTAACTAAAAGATGCTGCATAACAACACAATGCAACATGTAGCCTATTTAAAGCCATAATGTCGCCTATTATGTCTTTGATTTTCCTGGAAAAACAACTAAATAATCATAATTGGAATGAGACTTCTCCTTCCTGCAAGGATCTAAGACAGGCAGTGACTAAAACACCTGAATCACCATTGGAACCAATCAGAAGTGTCCCAACCCAGTGGTATTAAGACGTATCAACACCAATAAGATTTTGAGGTTGAAGGTGGAACTAAATTACCAGATACCAGGCTTTTTCGCCATAGTGTTAAAAGTCATACCCAGAGTGTGCACAGCTGGTCAGTCACCGCCGCAGGGAACAGCGGCTATAACACAGCAACAGATGAGGTTAGACCCGCCCCACGAGGGGAGAACTACGTGGTGCCTGCTTCTCCTCCACACCGAGCGCAGATTTAACACCAACTGGATATTTTACTCCTTTTTTTAACTGCAAAAAAAAAAAAAAAAGTTAGTCCATAATGTCTTGTTTACATAAACGTCCAAAAAGGACAACCTCCGAGGAGCTGGCTTTCCAGGAGCAGGTGAAAAAAGTTGCACAGGAGAATGGAAAACGCCTAGGTAAGTCCCCAAAAGGTGCAAATGTGGCGGAGCTTGTGTCCAAAGCAGAGTGGCGCGCGCTCTGATTATTTTGCCAACATTATCAGGCGCGCGCGCACACACACACAGATAAACACACCCGCATACACCCACAATGTTTAGATAACGTCGACTTTGGAAGATCTTATCTTTATATCTTTAACATATGTCAATGATCTTATGTAATCTGAGGATAAAACGCCTGTTTGTGTTGTTGGGACGTAACGTGTATCTTTGACTGTAAAGAGGCTTTATGGATGGTTCCTCATTGCCTGGAGCGCTGCATTCTTCCTTCTTTCTGCCATAATGACAACTCAGAGGAGGCTGTGGCTCGTGGGGTTGTTGTGGTGCTGTTGATAAATGTCATGACATACCCTTTTCTGTGATTCAAACGAAGGGACAAACACAGGAAGGCGATTATACGTGAAAGAAGGCGCAATCTCTTGTGGGCATGTCGCGTGTAACACAGTGGCAGTTTCATTTATTAGTCATCTTGAAAGAGAAGGCACAACAGGGCAATGAAGTGCAAAATGTCATAAAACTCACCCAGGGAAAATAATACACAGTGAGTGTTGCTATGACAATGGAACATGTGAGGGAAATTCATTCTTCCCTTATTTCATCATTTGATAATATACAACCTGTTGCACCTTGTTTGGTCTGGTCTTTTTAAATAGTGTTCATAAATGGGACGTGAAAAGTTTCTTCAAATCTCAAACCACACTTATTATCATGTTGTACTCAAAGACTCCCTCTCCCTCCCTCTGTGAACCCAAATCATTAACTCATACCTCCAAGGCATCACTCTTTACCTTAATTCTTGACCCCTTCTTGCCCTAGCTTGCCTCACAGAGGGTATATACTTTCAAGATCATTTCTGATCCAGTCTTGCATCTGAAACTGATGACCCTGCAAAAAAAAAAAAAAAAAAGTTAAAAGAAAGGTCATCTGATTCTCATCAGTTTCCTTCCAAACATACAGGATGACTCACGCTTATGATTTGGGAAATGTTAAGAATCATTAACTATTTATTTGTGGCTGACTGTTCACTCTTTGTAAGAGAACAGTCAGCCACAACATATTGAAACTACGGTGATGTAGACTATATGAAAAAGGAGATGACACGCAAGTGGGAGCTGCAACTTCGCGTAAAGGGAGTTTAAGCTCCCAGCAGAAAGCCTGACTGAGCAGAGGCGGGGTTGAAGCTCTGGAGTTGCCTTGCCCAACCCTCCGCCCTGCCTGCAGACAGGCCAGAGACTCATAAACAGCCTCTGTGAGTTTGTGGTGCGACCTAGGGGGAAAAGAAATGTCTGTAATGTTGTGGCTCTGCCCACGACCCTGACACAGTCCCAAATGAGTGAATGTATTTATCCCCAGTTGCCCTTTGCACACTGAGAGGACATCAGTCACTCTCATTTCTCTCTCATGACTCTCATGTCGCAGAGTGCTCTGTATTCCATTTTACTTGTGTGAGTCAAAAAGATATGTGTAAAAAGTTCAGTCCCACCCATCTACACTGACAAACACATTAGCATTACCTTACTTTTGTACAAATGGAAAACAAATAAACTAAACATTGTACTGCCAACACTGTCCTTGTGGCGTCATGTAGTGTTGAACATTGAATTATGAATCATGCTTTCAGCAAATGTCACACACACCCTTCGCAGAAAGCCGTAATCAGCAAATTGCTTCACTTGAGTTATAAAACACTGTCTCTGTGAACTGGTTTGAAGCTCAGCTGGGAGGCAAAAAAATTCAGTCCTGACCCACCTTATAATGCAATTATTGTAAATTTCCACAGAGATAAGTAGGTAGAGGTAAATTAGGGTTCTTAGTGGACTTTAGGTGGTGCTGTGTGTCCTTGAAAGAAAAGAAAACGTCTCCTCTGTCTGTGGCTCTCAGCCTCAAGACCATTGGTTTTTAATAAAGACATAAAACACTCACAGATGTACACCTTCATTTTTTTTTTTTTTTGTTGGAGACTATTTTCAGCTGCGTATTTGGTGTGTTAATGAGTATTTCTGGCAACAGTGCGGTATTATGTCGGGTGACTCATCATTAACTACTGTGCCCAAGTTCATTGAGAAGGAACTCGCCAGTCGATTGCAACGCAGCGGCTCACTGATGTATTTTTAATAGTCGGCACAGAAACAGTTTATCAGGCTTTGGCTACACAAACTATACTTATACGTATGATCAATGAAATGTTGGTTTTGTAGGTTGATAATTGGAAAAATCTCACCACACTTTTCTCTTGAAGTACCAACCCCTAACTTTTCTCCATAGTGACACGCCTTGCTACATCTGACACAGTGCGTCAACCGAATTTATAAAAATCGTGTGCGACTCTCCCTTTTGTCCCCGCTCCCGCAGGTTTGGAGGGGGATCCGGATCTCCAGTTCCTGCTGATCGGCGGGGAGCTGATCAAGGTCCGCTCCAGCTCCTGGAAGAAGAACCGTCTCTTCAAACTGCAAGAAGACTGCAAGACCTTGTGGCACGAGTCCCATAAAATGTTCAAGAAACATCACACCTGTGAGTGTCATCTTCCACCGGGGTCCTCTCTGTGTCTTTTTTGACCTGCACATACTTTTTCTATTATCCTGTCAACTTGGAGCTCTGCTTTCAGATCTTAACAATAGCTTTTTGCCTTAAGACACAACACACCCCTCAAATCCTTCTAGTAATAGAGAATATGTGAGAGGAAGTGGGGGAATGGAAACAACTCACACAGATAATGTGTGTGGCCAAAGACAGTCTGGAAAATACTAGTTTGAATCCTGACTATGTTTTTCCAAGGGTGTTGAGAGAGATTTATTTTTCTGTGATTTCTGGTTCAGTGATCCACTGTCAGGGGTGTGAAAATATATAAGTCCCTGGGCCTCTGGTTGCTCTGATTTCCCTCCCATCCCGTCCCAGCGACGGCTGCTGCTACTAGTCCTGTTAACCTCTGCCCCGAGCCTGAGCCTTGAACAAACACTGAAAGACAGAGCAGCGCGTCTTATAGTCGCCACACAGACACAACAGACACAGACACAGGGGATGTGATCAAGCAGTGAGTTAACGGTGATGTTTCAAAACTGTTTTTTTGTTTTCAACATGACCACACTTGCTTAGAGATGGGCCTTAAGTTCACAGGCATTTCCTTGTTTACGGAAATAAGCTACGTGTTTTTATTGCTTTCCTGTGGGCTTTAGCAAGCCACAATTACCACTCTGCTCTAAAGTGCTTTGGCATAAGGTAAGAGAGTGTGGGAGGACAGCACGTATTGTCTAACCAGTTTTTGTATAAGATTCATCTGTTGCTCGGCCTTACTGAAGCATTTTATTAAAGCAAACAAAACAAAGTTTATGGTATAAGTTTAGCCTTTTATCAGTGAGCAGTTATAGGACATATTCTCATTCTGTTTTTCCCATGTTGTAAATCTATATTATAAAAATGACAGGATGTCTATTGGATGTTTGCCTCTCTGCTGGAAGAGGGATCCATTTCCTGTTTTTCACTACTTTTTTTTAATGGATTTTTTTTTTTAACTATCCAATTCAGAGATCTAAAAATAGATGGTGTCATATGTTGATCAGACTGTAAAACCCTCCAAGCCAAATCAAATTCTGGGTTACATAAATAGAGTTGACTCGTCTTGACTTGACTAAATATTTAGAAGTACAGTACATGCAGTGCTGGATATCATTTAAATCTTTTCTGTATTAATGCCACTATGATATCTGACTTGTTATCAGTACCAAAATAACACTTTATTCAATACTTTAGTCTGAAGATTATGAACTTATATATAAGAATCAATAATAATCAATAGTTTAGACAGTTTCTGCTTGTGTCAGCTGGCCCCAAGCAGTTAAACAATCAGTTATTGCATCTTTAATGAATTCAATAATTGCTCAGTGCCTGAAATTAGAAGCTGCCGGGCCTGTAAACCACCCATACTCTAAAACTGTGTAAAGCTGTGTCTGTCTGTTTTCCCACACTCAGTGACAGCTGTTTGCCTTTATAGCATTTACACACACACACATACACATACACATGCGTACACACCGTCAGGGGTCGTATAAGGTAGATGTCAGTGGATTTCCATTACACTATGAAGTTGGCACATGTCTCATGAGACATGTTCCTCATATCACTGTTGGTTCGTCACAGAGCAAAAGCTGATCATTGCCGAAAAATCTATTCCAACATTGATAATGTCAGCAGACTTATCAGATCAGAATTTGACTAAAACACTATTCTCAGGCTCATAGTCAAACACATCGAACAGATAGGGTAAGTAGGTGGTTATTGTTTTGCATGCCTTTCCTCAAATATTGTTTTGGTCATTTCACAAAACAGTCAACCCCAAGCTGAATATTAACCTGAAGGTCAAGTTTGTGCGCACACTCTGACACGGCGAACTAACCCTCTGCACTCTCTACACTGCTGAATTTTGTCTTCTTCCCCTTTGGAGAAAAGACTTTCAGAAACAGCAGCATGTACTTTGTCGGGCCGGGACAATAATCTCTTTGTGTGAAATTTCATCTGGTATTCAAGCAATGCCTGCGTGACACGGTTGACGTGTCTTGGACACTGTGGTCGGTCTCCCCAGATGGGATTCTCTGAAACGGGTCCAAATTCACAACCCTAAACTCCTCCACAGTGGTCTGTTGTTGCTGAGGATAACGTGCATGCACAGATTAAACAAACACTCCCCTTCTGGTGAATGCTTTCAAGGTATTTTGTTCATCTAGCAGTCAGCTGAGTGTACACCCTCCAGCCTTGGGTGTGTTTGACCATACCACCCCCCCTCACTCTGTTTTTCTCTTCAAGTAGTCTGACCTTTAGATTCATTCTGCCCCTAGATAGTCTCTGATTTTCACCAGAACAATGGTTGCTCTTCATTAGACGAACCTTGAGATGTAAAGGGTGGAAACACTGTGATTGTGGTTCAGCTATAACATATGACCTCTTAGCTAAGCCTGTACTCTTTGGTGTTTTGTTAGAAGGGCAGTTGTTGCCATTTAGCGTGATGACATCATCCGTGGTCATGCACACTCTTCCGTACATTAAGCTGCTCAACAATAGCGCTAGCCACCAGTGTAAGGGTAAACAGGCTGTGTGTGCAGAGGCTGTCAGTTTTTGTTGTCTTTGTGCGTGGGGTGTCTGATAAACCAAAATATTTTTAGCACTAGAAATGTCGATCACTTTTCTGTTGTTACCCGGGTGTGCCAGTGTGTGAGGCAAGGGGATCAAGGCAGGCCAGATTGCATCAAACTGTTGGGAATGTGTTTGGGTTGCCAAAGAATCCAAGTGCTCAGCAGACAACAAGAAAATGTCGGAGAGACCTCCTCTTACACAGTCTCAGAGGGCTCGTAATTCTTAAAACTATTTAGGCCAAATTGCTGAGTTTTTGGTAAACAAGATATTGGATCAACTTCTTGTTATGCAAACATGTTTGGTAGCTGCGCGTTGCGCATTTAGCAAGAAATGAAAACACGCAGTGTGCTTTGAAGGCTGTTGAAGGCCATGTTTTTATCTGTTACCGTCATGCTCCTTGTGTGAGTGAAGGCCGCAGAAGTGAGCTATCACACAGAAACAAAAGCCTCCTGTTGATAAGATGTAAAAACTGTTTCTGGCGCCCGGTGCTGTTGTGCCCATCGGGACAAAAAGTCTGCCGCCTCAAGATACTGTCATGTCTTCGGGAGGATTGTTAACTTGTGTTTCCAGGTGCCAACTGTGACTGTCAGCTACTTCCTGAATATCACACTCAAAACTACATGTGGCTCTAACAAAGCCGTTAATGATTACCACTGATAATGACAGAACAAAAAAATCTATAGAAAAAGCGCCAGAAGCCTTGATACAAAAATGATGTTTAATGTAGAATTTCTGCAGTAAGAGTTTTTTAGCATTAAGCTACAAGTGTCAACTTTTTATTGTCCTCTGATTAACGGCTGAAATACAGGAAAATGTATTGTATCTCATAAATGTCTTTTCTGTAGATATCTAAAACTATAGGCACCACATCCCATGCCTTGCCAAAAGGTATGGGAACCAAAAATCTATAATTATATAAATATTTTTATAAAGTAATATTAAAAATATATTACATTTGTAGGCTGACAAAGGAGATGTTGATTTGATTTTGTTTGTAAAGGAAACTTTAGGAGACTTGATTCCAAATCGCAAGAGGGTATTTGCATGTCAAACTTAATTTAACTTGAAATTGAAAGGATTTGAATCCTTTCTTTCTTACAGCGTGTTGAAGTGTTGTTTAGACTTGTTTAGGTTTCTCTCTAAGTGAGCTTGAGGGCTTACATCTGCTAACTCAAGCCATGCTATTATCAAGCCAACCCTTGACGATGCCTCCAGGGCAAGAATTTTAAACATTCACTTTCCTCTCCTCTCTCCTAACAGTCTCCATTGATGACATTGATTCAGTGCGCATGGGCCGTCAGTCCGAGGGCCTTAATAAATACACCGACGCCACCGTCGAAGAGCAGTGCTTCTCCATCATCTTCAAGGGTCGCAAGAGAAATCTTGACCTGATGGCCATCAATGGGGGGGAAGCCAAACAGTGGGTCAACAGCCTGAACAAGCTCATCAGCAACATGCGCAACCTCAACCGGCAGCAGAAGAGCGAGCAGTATCCTCGAGACATTGCTAATTACCTTTTGCACCTCCAGATTTGTTGTTTTTTTTTCTTTTATTTGTTCAAAGATGTTTTAAAATCACAGAGTGCTCGAGTTGCATACTTTGCTAGAATAAGAGTAAACAGCATCCTTACATCTAAATGCCAGCTGGATCATCAACTGCATGCGAAAAGCAGACAAGAATGAAGACAATAAGATGACCCTGAAGGAGCTGAAGCACTTCCTGCGACAGATAAACATCGAGGTTGATGACACTTACGCAGAGGAAATCTTCAAGGTGACTCTCTCTCAGAAAACCCATTCACTTCTTATAGTTCATCAGAGTTCAAATCAAGTGATGTGGTCGATTGATTAATGTCTCATAATGTCTCATGTTGTGTAGAAATGTGACGAGTCCAATTCAGGATCCCTGGAAGGCGCGGAGATCAAGCACTTCTACGACCTACTAACGCAGCGGGAGGAGATAGATGTGATTTATGGGCAGTACGCTGAAACAGAGGGTCAGATGAGCCCCAGAGACCTGCTGAGCTTCCTGCTGAATGAGCAGAGGGAGCAGGCGTCCATGGAGGACGCTCTCAAGCTGATCGAGAAATACGAGATGGATGGAACAGGTAGGGTTAACTCAGAAAACCCCGTCAGCTTTGACTTTGATACGTAGCTCACATTCCACATATCGTATCGCATCCGTCACGTTCCGTCATGTCCTCTGTTCACCAGCGAAGCAGAAGAAGCACATGACAAAAGACGGCTTCCTGATGTATCTGCACCAAGAGGAGGGATCCATCCTCAACCCGGCCCACAAACATGTGTACCAGGACATGAGCCAGCCCCTCAACCATTATTACATCTCCTCCTCACACAACACATACCTGATGGAAGACCAACTCAAAGGGCCCAGCAGCACAGAGGCCTACATAAAGTAACTATTTTTACCCACATGCTGTACATCAGGGGCATTTCTAGGAGTTGACAAGGTCTGTGGCTAAGCCCAGACCATCTGGGGCTGAGGTCAAGGTGTGTGCATGTGCAGATGAGCCTTGAGTCCTCCTGTGTAACAAAGGGAAATGCATGGCCTTGAAAAGCTTGTAAACGTAAGTTGATTGAGGAATCGCTGCTCGTATATTGTATATTAGTCATCATTTCATTAATTTCAACTTAAACTCAAAGGCCACAAAAATGGTACGACCTTTAATATTTATAACAATCAGGCCCTTTACACTACTTATGAGAATTGTGTGACACACTCCCAAGCTGAAGAGGAAAATGCTGCTGCTTTGTTCCCGTTGTCTGAATGTGAGAGGAAGCAGCCCCTAACCTCGCTCCTGACCACCAGGCAGCTGCACCAGAGCCAAACTGCTCTTTTTTTTTCTTTCTTTCTTTTTTTTTTTTTTTTTACAATATCTCTAAATTTATGGGAAACAAACACACTTTAACATCACAACTTCTGGACTTAGGAGATGATGTGAATACAGCAGCAGCAGACATCACAGTAGTTAGTTATGGTTTGTTGGGCTAACATTATTCGATAAAGTGGTTGCTGTGAGAGCCCAGCGGCTGAGCAGAGGCAGCACTGATTGCACACCTTGCCAGTAGAGTGTAACAAAAGAAAACTGCAGTAGATTTGAGCTTGTATACAAGAGGACTTTACCCAGCCACACCCTTTCCCTCAGTCTCTCTACATCCACAAACAGGCAACAGCAAGATTTTTGTTTTAGATCAGAACACGGCTACCGACCTACCAATCAGAATAAATCTACAAATCAACTAACCATTCAGAATAAGGCAAACCAACCAATTAGAACACGGCTACAAACCAACTAATCAATCAGAATACGGCTTTAATAAGTCAGTCCGACCGCCTGTCCATCCCATTCTTGTGAACGTGATATCTCAGTAATGCCCTGAGGGAATTTCTTCAAATTTGGCACAAACATTGACTTGGACTCAAGCATGAACTCGCCAAAGTCAAGGTCACTGTGACCTCACAGAATATACCTTTTTAGCCATAACTTCACACAGCACAGCAATTATGACTAAATTTTACACGACTAATATTTTACATGACTCTGGATAAACAGGGAAGTAACTTGAAACTAGTCTGAGTGGTGGAGGCGTACAACCGCAAGGAAGTAATTCTAGTTACAAGTGACAACCAGTGTCGGACTGAATGCCCCGAATAGTTCATGGGTCTTCATAAAGTGCTACCATAGGAGCAGGGACTTTTTGTGGGGGGGCAGGTACCAAAACTAGCTAGCTAGCACTAGCTCCTTTTTGTTGAAATTCAAGTGAAGTTCCTGAGTTCCTGGAAACGTTTCTGCAATGTGAGGAGGCCAAGAGTGATCTCTGTGGTGCGTTGGTGGTCATCAAGGTCGTCTTCTTCTTCTTGCAGAGCGCTTATGAAGAGCTGCCGCTGTGTGGAGCTGGACTGTTGGGACGGGGCTAACGGGGAGCCTGTCATTTATCACGGCTACACACTCACATCCAAAGTGCTCTTCAGAGACGTCATCAAAGCCATCAAAGAGTACGCCTTCAAAGTACGTGAGATGTTGTATTACTTGTGGGACAGGGTGTATCAGGCTGCTAATTTTGATGATTTAATTTCCTGTTGTTCTCATTCATACAGTTATTGAGAGGCTATAAGCTTCACCTTCCCTGAATGATTGTTTCCCTTGTTTTCCAGACGTCGGACTACCCGGTGATCCTGTCCCTGGAGAACCACTGCACCGTGGACCAACAGAAGCTCATGGCCCATCACTTGATTTCCATCCTGGGCGATGCTTTGGTCACAAAGCCCCTGGGCAAAACCATGCCGACCAACTTCCCCTCACCTGAGGTAACCTGGGCTCACTGAGACACATTACATTCAGCGTATTTAGAGCCTTGCTGTAAATACCCTCCCAAATAAACACCAAAGGAAGACCACGCCTAAAAATTCCACCTCTTAAGTTAATGAACCACTGTGCCAGCTTTTTTTTTCACTTTCCTGTTTACTTTAACTTGACTATTAGATTTGTCTGGGAAAGGAAGTTGATTAGATTGAAGTAAGGCCCATCTCATTATGTGAGTACCAAATAAACCACTACCACATAATCCAAACGGCATCCATCTCAAGCCTCTGATCCTCCTCTGTGTGAGGACAGACCAACACGAAGACTTGGGTTTTGCCTTTTATTGACTTGTTGAAGCAGTCTTTGGAATAGCAGGTCGTTATAAGATCTGACTGTGAGACTTGGAAGCGTGCGAGAGAATATCTTGCTTAACGAGAGACTTCGTTAGCAAGTGGAATCTCATTTGTATGTGAAAAGTATTCAGTGTTTGTCTACCAGAGATGCGAGGACTACACACAGCTGCAGTAGGATTTGAATTCACACACAAAAGGGGTGTGTACAGCCCGAACCTCTCTCAGAATTATTGAGTCACTTTTCTGCTTTTCCTTGTTGTTTTTACACTATTATTCCAACTTCTTGTTCTTCTCGTATCATATTTTCCTCATATGCTTCCTCTTTTAACCCTTACTGTGGTCAGCGTAGCTTTGACGGAAAAGTATGGCTCTGAAAATGCTGCAGGATGATTTGAAAATTGAGAGGAGAGACACAAAGAGAGGAGGGGAAGTACCAGAATGTCAAATTGACTTTCAGTGACATCTCCAAGGCCTTGTGTGCACTCCTCTTTCAAATGTAACACCCGTGGGATGAATGCTTCTGGCACAATCAGCCTCAAAGGAAATTATGATGCATGCATCACACAACATTTTCCTTTCTCTCATTGGCTTGTTTGGAGCAGTGGCGTGCCATAATGCTGCACAGTATCTTGACTTGTGTGTTTAGAAACTGCACAGCAACAAAAAAAAAAAAAAACATTTTCGTCTGTCTGATTGCAGGAGCTGAAGGGCAAGTTCCTCATCAAGGGCAAACGACTGAACAAACTGGATGCTGCCTTCACCAGTAACAGCAGCATAGAGGAAGACACGGTGTCCGAGGAGGATGAGGCGGCAGATTGTAAGGAGAATGGACAAAAAGCCAAGTCAAAGGTGTGCCAAGTGCTCATTAGTCATTGGTTGTAAATGCGACAAAACGATTTTGTTTCAGGTATCAGGTTTGTGCAGAACACGCCTGAGCTGCTGTCCTGTGTTTCTTTACAGAAATCAAAGATCAAACTTGCCACAGTGCTCTCGGACATCGTCATCTACTGTAAGAGTGTCCACTTTAACGGCTTCGAGCACGCAAAAGACAACCAGGCCTTCTACGAGATGTCGTCCTTTAAGGAGAGTAAAGCTTTCAACCTGGCGGACACCTCAGGTAAACGGCAACTGGAACCGACCTCAGTGACATGTTAGAGTTAGACGGCAAACCTGATTACGGCTTCTCAGGAGGAGAGCGTGTTAAAGCATCAGCGTTTTAATGTGTTTTCGCAGCTACTGCCTACATGCATCACAACATGGACAAACTCAGTAGGATCTACCCAGCGGGCTCCAGAACCGACTCCTCTAACTACAACCCCGTGCCCATGTGGAACGTCGGCTGCCAGATAGGTACGCCCCCATTGCTATCTGCATAAAAATCCAGCCTGTCAGTGTCACCAATATAAAGTGCGGAGCAACGGTATCACTCCCTTCTCTCTCCGACTCGGGTTTTTTAGTGGCGCTGAACTTCCAGACTCCCTCCAAAGAGATGCACCTAAACCAGGGACGGTTTCTGCCGAACGGTTTCAGCGGCTACGTCCTGAAGCCTGAATTCCAGAGAAGTTTGTCCTCTCAGTTTGATCCCAACACACTTACCAAGGGACCCTGGCTACAGAGGAAGGTCTTTCATGTCATGGTGAGCGTGATTGTTCACATTGCCGGTTAGAAATACTCTGTTACAAGTAAGGCATTCAAAATGTTACTAATGTAAAAATACAAAAGTATTAGCATCAAAATATAATTGAAGTACCAAAAGTAAAAGCACCCATAATGCAGCCTGCTCTATTTCAGAATAACGTTATGTTTAGAATTACTGATGCAAATCACTTTTCTGCTGCAGCTGGTAAAGGGGGGGCAAATTTGAACTACTCCGGGTGGTTTCTATAAATAATGATACATAATTGTGGTGAATTATATTTTGTGATGATATGCAAAGCAAGGCAGCTTAATTTATGAAGTACATTTTAAACACAGAAGCAATTCAAAGTGCTTTACACAGGAAAAAGAAAGCATTAACATTAAGAAACAATGAGCAATAAAAACCAGATATAGATAAGTAAGTGAGATTAAAATAAATAAATTGAATACATTTTAAATACATAAAATGAAAAGAAAAAAAGTAGACAAAAATAATAGTAGACCAGAAATACAGTTATAGCGGAGTTAATGCAGTAATAAGTTATAAGTTGCCCCGAATGCATCAAGGGAATTGAATTTTGATTTGAAAGTGACTGGAGTTCGGGTAGATGTGAGATCATCAGGCTGGCTGGATGGCTGAAAGAAGACTCCAGCTATCGTGGTGATTCACTCAGATTTATGATCAGCAATGGAACCAGCACAAGCACTGCCTTCAAGAAATGATCCAAACCAAGTGAACAGTTTTTTGATCCACACTATCAAAGCTTTAAAAATAATAGTGGAGTAAAAGTTACAATATATGGCCCTGAACTGTAGGTGGTATAAAGCAGAGTTACTTTCCACCAAAAAAAAAAAAAAAACATTCCTCCACAGCACAACTCGCGGTCAAAACCTCCATTTAGTACCACAAGTGTTTGTATTCACACTCTGATATTTACCAATGACTGAACATGCAGTAAAAATGATAAGGTTTTGTTACATTCGTTTGTGTTTTGTATCCCTATGCAACAGGTCATCTCAGCTCAGCAGTTACCGAAACTCAACAAGGACAAACACAAATCCATTGTGGACCCTCTGGTAAGAGTGGAGATCTGCGGGGTCCCAGCAGACAACGCCAGCAAGGAGACGCGGCACATTGAAAACAACGGTGAGCATAACACACATACACATACACAATGAGTTTTTCCAAGCAACAGATTTTCAGTTTTCCGTAGAGCAAACATCACAAACTTTGGCAGATTTATTTATTTATTTTTTAAAAATGAGTCACATCATCTGAACAATAATCCATCCCTGCAGGGTTCAACCCCATGTGGAATGAGCGCTTCCAGTTTAACATCCAAGTCCCAGAGCTGGCCATGGTGCAGTTTGTGGTGGAGGACTATGACACAACAACCCAGAATGATTTCATCGGGCAGTACTGTCTACCACTCACCAGTGTGCAGAACGGTAAAGAAGTCCAGATGTTGAACAAAGAGTAGAGAGGGTGATCAGTGACTCCACATCACACACATGAGAGTACAGTCACAACAGGAAGTTATCCTCGAGACTACAAAGACTGAAATATTGAAGTATTGTACTACTTAGCATATAATCAAGTGCAAAGTGAAGATACAAAGAATTATGTGGTTGCTATGACAGGATAACCAGCACTGTTGTTTCATTTCAAAATAAGAGTGTCTCCAGTTCTTTCTACAGTTAAACACATGTGAATCTTGACAGTTCATCATAAACAAAACTCTGATTTGCTGACAAAGCTAAAAACTCACTTCCTTCCCCCCCTCTCCCCCCCTCTCCCCCAGGATATCGCCACGTCCCTCTGCTCACCAAGAGAGGTGACGTCATTTGCTCTGCTGGACTGTTTGTGCACCTCATGCTCCTGGACGTCCAGTAGACCCGCATGTGGAAAAGCCTCATGCCAGGATGGAACAGCGTGTTTTTGGAAACTCTTTTAAAAAAAAAAAAAAAAAAAAGATTTTGTCCAGTTTTAAAGCTAAATAATATAACTCTTCAAAAATACTTCAAAAGCGTCTTTCACAGAGAAAACATTTTGTCGTCTGCCAAGAAACAGCCACTGACTCACAGTCGTCTCTGACGCTTTCCTGTTATTGTATAACTTTAGCTTTTTAAATAGTGGCTGACAGTACCTGTACGGCAACAAAACAAGGATGAATGAAAATGTGAATGAAAGAGCTGTGAAAAATCGGTGTAGGAAATTATTTAAAGGAAGTCAAAAAACTGTGTTTGCCATATCGGGGAGGAGTACAATAATTAGTATTGTACGAATTTCTGAAAAGTATTTTCATATTTTACAGATTTACAGACTTTTATATATTTCCCTTCAGAATCATACAGGCCATAACTCATGGAAACGCTATTTGTCGAGCAGTATGAATGGTATTTGTGTCTGTGCGCATGTGTCCAGGTGTCTAATAATTTTTGTAATGTTAGTGCGATTAACCTTTCTTTCAAAAAAAGACTCAAAATGCTTTATAACTTCCTTGTTGTTGATTGTTGATATGAGGAGCACATTAACTGTATATTGTATGAATCTGCTCTAGACATGTTGAACTTCACTCAACAAGTATTTTATGTCAAGCAAATCCTAATATTTTTAAAACAAAATCATACTTTATTTGTATTTTTTACCATTTGTTTTTCCATGACAAACTTATGACTGTCAGTGCCTCGAGTCACTTATCCACATTTGCACTAGCTCTCAAATAAAACTCTGATAGTCGGTCGAAGGTTTTGTCTATTTATTCATAATATATGTGATTCAGCAAATGACAATAATATGGCCAAAAAAAACAAAACAAAAAAAAACACCTTGATCACTGTATGATCACATTCAAACATTTTAAATATAGATAAAAGTATAAAGCATAACAATTCTGAGGAATGTTTATATATATATATAATTATATATTTATATTATATTAATTTCAGTCATGTGCATTAAATGTGTCATTTTAATAATCATGTTAAGCTTTACATTTCTATGCAGCTGTTATAATCACTATAATGTCACTGATGGGTGAAAATACATCATGTTATTCAGATGAAGACCGCTAACAGTCCCGTCTTTCACGACACGTTTGATTCCAACAGGAAATCCTTCTCAGAACAGTCCTGCTTTTTTCTTCAAGTCATTCTGCCTCCACTTTGGCAGACGCTGGAAGTCTGGCCGACTCGTGCCAAGCAGGTTCTCAAAGTCCGCATCTGACAGGTGGGCCTGTGACCAGAGCGCAGAGGACAGAAACGGTTAGACTGACCCCTACTGTCCAGGCAGCGTTAGTGCATCAGCATACAAATCACATGTTAGGTTAAGGTTAAAGGCCCCGCCACCCCTCCTTATGTGGGAGCAAGACAAAGAGACACAGAACAACTAGAAAAGGATACAGGGTCCATTTGTAGTCAATGCTCTGTGGCCATTTTGAATCTCCTTGTAGTTGTTTTATCTCTTAATGGTAACGTAATGTCTCTTCGGAGGCATTTTGTGTGTCTTTGTCGTTTGCATCTGTTTGCAGCTGTTTTGCATGTATTTGCAGTTCTGTGCCTCTGTAGTTATTTTGTATGTCTTTCGGTGACAGGTGAAGCGACAGGTGAGGCTGCCGCTGCTGCTGGTTGAGAAACAGCTGCTGAACTTCAGTATTTAGTTCACACAGAGAGGCCGTGTGACTCGTGTCCAGAGCTTTCCTGCCACAACCGCTCCACACCGACACAAAGCTACTGCACTAAAATACTACCGCACACTATAAAAATATTACAGGAAAACCATCAAATGAAGTTATTAAATGTTTAGTGTATTTGCGTGAAATGTTACTGTAGCCTCAGTATGAAAATATTGCATTGGATTTGGTTAGGCAGATACATTCACACTGATTTCCATGTTGCTGTGCCAGTCGCACCAGATCCAGAATCCTGCACCAACCTCTCTCTGGCCGGGCTCCACTCCCTGCGGCAGCTCGCTGGGAGACTTGTTGATGAGCAGCTCCGGGTCCAGATACATCCCAGAGCCTCCAGCAGAGGGGGACACGGTGCCACCGGCTGGGGACGACGGAGTGAAGCTAGCAGACGGGGACAGGTTCATAGACGCAGGGGGCTGGACTCTCTGAGTGGACGGGCTGGTGGGAGTGGAGGGTCTTGGGGACAGATCACCCCCATGGACCCTGTAGAGAGTAGGGGAGTTCACAGGGCCCCCTGGAGCCCTGTAACCACCCCCACCCATCCCAACTGGGGATGGACTCTTACTCAGGTTGGTGTTGTTCAGGTCCTGCAGACGTGAGAGGTGAGCTTGTGAACTTGTACATGACATTTGGGAGAAAAAAAAACATCAAAAGTGTACAAACATTCACAGATTAGTGACATTATATTTATCACACTGGAGACATTACATGGCTGATATATTAGTACATGTCAATTAGAGTTAGGATTAGTGTTAGTCAATCACTTACAACAGTGATCTGTGAGAGAGATGCAGGATCACTCAGCTTTTTTTTCATCTCCTCATAGGAGTTGCCTCCCTGTTAAAAGATCAAGTGAGCCAGGAGGGAAGATTAGTAAGCATGCGGGGTCTTCATCATCTTCAGAAACAAATCCATTTAATCATCCGCATGTGACTGTTTGCTCTTCCTAATTCCTGAGATGATTTGTTCACACAGGATTATTCTCAGCATTCATGTGATATTTGTGGCATAATCAGTGTTGATGAAATGGAAATGTACACCGATACACTACTATGAATAGTGCTTCGTCATGCCTTGATCATTGCCGCGTTAGCCTGTTAATAAAACTCTGGTGCCTCCCACTGAGATCAAAGGGAGGCTGCTAAACTCACGCTCCACTTATGGGGATCCCATGCGTTGAACCAGCCGGTGAAGGTGGGCGGCTCATATCCCTGTTTGACAAAGATGATGGGCGTGTCCGGGTCACGGCCCGCAGGGTGGGTCCTCAGGTATTCCTGTGCGCTGTTCCAAGCCTCTTTGGTCTCATGCTGGTTGGCTGATTTTCCAACCCACAGGAAAATCTGAGGCGATTTGGAGGGAAGAAGTGAGAGAATAACAGATGGGATATATTTTAATAAATCGACTCCAGAGCAGAAGTGAGAGAAAACGAAGAAAGTTACACTTCAGCTACTTCCATGGCTTCCAGTGGCATTTCAGATTTCTTCTCTAACTTTTCGGCTGACACTTAACTGTTAGTCAACTACTATCAACTTCTTTCAGGGTTTACGGAAAAACTGACAATTTAACCAATAATGATGCTGTAACGTGAAACTAAAAATTCAAATGCTTTCATCGATTACTGACATTTAAACCGCTTTAAAAAGGAAAACAGCAAGTACACATCAAATGCCTTCAGGAAATGTTTTAGTATAAAATACAAACATATATTTTCAGTTCTCTTACATACAGTAACAACCTCAAGCTTGCTATTTGTTTCTTAAATTTTACTGTCCAATTCCCAGTTCCCAAGCAGATGATGTATTTCTGGCTGAGGCCCTTTGACCTCTCACCTCCTCCCAGGTGTCCAGCAGCATGACGTCCTCCTCGTCCAGGTCACTCTGCGCGAAGTCACCCACCTCGGTCATCCTAAACTGACCCGTCTGATTGGAGCATTCAAACAGCCGGGGACTGTGGGGAGGCTCCTCCTTCTGCAGTCTGAAATTACACAGACCCGTTCCATCATAAAAACTGTATAATCTGCTCTGTTTATGCGTGCGCGTGTGTGTGTGTGTGTGTGTGTGTGTGTGTGTGTGTGTATGCTTTATTTCACTGGCTTCAGATGACATTGGGCATATTCCACTGACCTTGATATAAAAATAATCCATGCAGATTTAAATTTAAGCTTATTAATGGTTCAAAATATGATGGAAGAGCCTTTTGAATGAATTCTGAAGACAGTGCCTTGTTTATAAGTTATTATAATAGTTATTTTCTACCTGATTTGAAATAATAAAAAATAAAAATAGCATGCAATTCATCTAGCAGGGAGGAGAAATGAACAGGAAGATTGCCAGCTACCTGAAAGGCATCGTCACAAACACCAATCACAAAAACCCTGATTCAGAGGTGTGATGCTGCTGCTGCCGTCGTCTGTGTTTACCTCTTGTCACTGGCATAGGGGGCCTTTCCTCCCAGGGCTACCCAGAATTCAGCTGGCTCCTGGCCCTCCATCACCACCTGCTTGTCCTGCTTGGACAGCACATCAGACATCGCTCTCCCCATCACCCTCTCGTCGCCGCTGCAGCCCTGGACCGGATAGAACCGGGCAGCAAACAAACAAACAAATATGGATCAGCGTGAAAGCACAAAAACAAATGTGTTTTTTTTTTTTGTTTATTTGTTGAAAGGGGCTCGTCTGTGATGCACTTACCTTTCCGTACCACAGGTAGCATATGTGATCGGTCTTCAGAAGGAAAACGTCGTTGGTGTTGAGGGACGAGGCCCTTGCCAGCACTTCGGTGGCCTTGGTGTTCAGCTCATTAGTCCCTCTTACCTGGAACAGCCTGGCACCCGCGTCAGGGTTGACCGCACCTGGGCGACCTGTACCGCCCTTTAGCCACACACAGAATGAAGTGCGTGTTGAGATTGGCACACAAAACACATACAGGATATGCACTTTACAACTAAGTAATGTTTTTGCATCTTTCTTCTACTTGCAGATTTGATAAGTGTTATTTGTGCATTTTTCCGAGCCTGTAGGATTAATGTCATGATGTTGTCCCCTTGAGAAATAAAGACATTTTCTTACCAGATTACAGTAATAATTCCTATGATTTCACACCCAACCAAGATATTGAACTTTTTTTTTTTTTTTTTTGCATTTGAGCATCTGCTGTGCAACAGAAAAAAAAAAAATCATACCTCGAAGATGATGAGTTTGCCTTTGAAAATAGCCAGGAAGTGGCGCGGCTCTTTTCCCATCACCACCCTGACCTGCACCGGGGCTCCATTGTATTCGTTATCAATGTTGACAGCCTGGTAGGCGCACGCTGTGATCTCGTCTTTGGTGGCATGACGGCCCTGGCGCGAGACACAAAACCACGTTAAAACAAAGTCGTGTTCTCAGTTGAACAGAAACAAGAGAGCGATTTTAAATGAAATGAAAGTTTAGATGCGTTTGTGATGCTGCTGACCTGCCACATGTAGAGGACGTACTGCTGCTTGTTCGACCTCTGATACGTGTACAATACCAAGTAGCAGTCTCCTCCATAGAACTGTCCGTAAGTACTTGGATTCACTTCGGCCAGCTCCAGGTTCTCGATGCGCCACACCTGATGAAGACAGAAACATTTACAGAAATGTAAGATCTTTTTGTCATGTGGACCGCTGACCGCACGAAGTCAGCAGCACATCTGCTCTGTGGGTCTGTCTGGATGCTCGCCTTAACATCTCCAGATGCGTCGTCTACCATGCGCTGCTGTGCCGCCAGTTCGGGACGAGCGTGGAGCTCCATCACATCGAACTTCACTTGGTCGACCTTAGCTGTAAATTTAATGCATCATACATTGAGACAACTGAGAATTTGAAAGTTCTGTATGTATCGACAAAATATATTATACAACCAAAAATCGTGACATAATTCTATATCTGAAATTTTGTTCAACTATGGAAGGATTTTTTTTTCCCCCACAATAAAATAATTGAATTGCAGATCATTACTGCTGACCTTACTCTGAATAATTACACAGCCAATCATGGCTGCCTTGTTTGTTTGACTCACAGAAAGTTTTGTGATGAAAAGTCATTAAGTTTTTTTTTTTTAAAAAGAACATATTGAGAATAAAAAAAAACTGCTGAAATTAAATAAAAAGGACAAACAATAGAACAATATTTCATAATAACAAACCGAGTTTAAAACTTTTTTTTGCATTACTTCACAATTGCATAGTTATATTGCATACTTTTTATGTAGTGATTATAAATTTCACAACATTTTGTTCAATCATCGATCACCTCATCAATCCATAACATCAAATATCAATATCATCACTCCTAATTAAAACACGCTAGGCATTACGCACTGTGTGTTAAAATGTCTTTAGTGTATAAGAAAATTAAAAAAAATAAATAAAAAAAGATATTGGACCCAGAGCTGTACCTATCTTCCCCACGCTGTAGGTGGTACCCAGACCCTGAGTTTGCCCTTTGTCTCTCCAGGATTTGAACAGGTGCTTGAACAATGCCGACTCTCCTCCCTCCGTCATCACCTCTACAGTGGTGCTGGGTGGGTAGTTCTTGGCTTTGATGTAGCCCTGGTAGAAAAGATGAGTGGACAAAGTGTCTCTCATGATACATTTTTAGCGTTTCATTTAATGATTCTTGCAAAACAAAAACCCCTAATATTGAATAATTATAGAGTTATAGAGTAAATCTTTTAAGCAAAAAAGGAAATATACCTCGGGTGTGACCTTTTTATTTGTGATATACTGACCTCATCTGGAGAAAGTATCGTTCTGGCTTTTCCTTCCGATATACTGTAGATTTAATCATTCAGTAAACTCACCACTGCCCTGTTCAGAGCTTCTCGCCGCTCTTCCTTGGAGGCCTGTTTGCCTTTCCACACCATCACACTAGAGCCGCCCTGGTCCGCGATGTAACAGTCCTGACAGCGAGAGAAGAGAAGACGTTGAGACGGGACCTGATTCTTCTACATAAACAGTTTCCTCAGAACACGTTTGGAGGATAAAAGCCAATTACAGAGGAGTGCAGCAGGTCTTGCGTTAGAGGTTGCGTGGCCACTTCTTGAACCACGAGATTCCCGCTATTTTCAAAAACGCTGGAGGAAAGAAACGAGAAGAAACAATTTATGAAGCTGTTAAATAGCTAAAAACAAAATAATAAAAAAAAAAAAAAAAAAAAGGTCCCATTATCCCACAAATGTGACAGCAATACAATGGTTCATCATGAAGGAGTCCTTACTGGTACAGCCTGACGCTGCCGTTCTGCGCTTGACCGGGTCTGTCGTCGGGGACGGCCTCTTTCAGCGACCCGGTTCTTTGGCCGAGCACCGCCGTCATGACCTTCATCAGCTCCGGGGAGTCCTGCTCATCTCCTCCCTCCACCAAACCAATCTGAGCGCGACCTCCTCTCTCCCTGTCACGGATGTCCTGAGCCAACAGCACCGCCTGCACAGAGAGGAGATATGAAAGCCAAGTGAGTAAAATCCTTACTCAAAATCATTTTGATTTTCTTTGGCTTTCTACCCTGGAAACCCATTTAAGAGATACAGTATAAAGTATAACCTACTTTGTGGACACAGCAGCATATTTGAAGGCAATATTTACTATTGATTACAGACTTCACTGGCTTGTTGTCATTAAAAAAAAAAAAAAAGACCCACACGATGGAAAGCGTTCACTATTAATACTGTCAAATGATCTATAAATTACAAGAATGGCAAAACGAATCACAACTAGTTCTTTCTGACTTTTTCTGTTTTCTTCTTCACATTTAATAGACAGTTACAAACTTTATAAGTAGAGCTTGAAAAATTGCTCTCCTTACATTTCAGTGACTGTGACTGTGGTGCCTGGAAACACTGCTGTTCTTTGTAGTTTTCTCTTTTCCTTTTATTTGATTGTGATGTGTAACGGACTGTGCAATGATTTACATTTCAAAATTTACAGTTACTCATTTGGCAGACGCTTTTATCCGACGCAACTTACAAGTGAGAGACATCTCTAAGGCGTCAGTGCAGTGGAAGACCTTGGTGTAAGCACTAAGTACTGTCTGTTTAATAAGTATAAAGGAGATCAAGTAAAGAAGTGCGGTGAAAAGTGCAAGGTAAGTGTTTGTTAGTCACGTTAGGGTGTTAGAAGTGTTAAGGAGAGGAGGTTCTCTCAGAAGAGATGAGTCTTCAGAGATTTTGAAGGATAGAGAGACGTATAATAAATAAAAACAAAAACAATAAAATCATATATATTTGAATATAGAGGGTTTTTTTCTATGAAACAAAAAAATATTAAAAAAAAAAAAAAAAAAAAAAAAGGTACTAAAGAAATATATTTCTATCGTTGACCATTAGTAGCAATATTAAGCGATGTTTTTTACGAGTGGATCCCACTTTTGCTGGTACCGTGCGCAGGCATGAGCACACAGGTGGCATCCGGTTCATGCTACTCCACTGATTGACAGTTGGTGGTCGTAACGTGCCAAAAAAAACACAGCTATGTGTCAACACAGTAGTTAAAAAAAAAAAAAAAAAAAAAAAAAAAATGTGGGAGGTTGTGTGTGGGAGGAAATGCATTCAACACTTTTGTTAGACCTCTACACAGCTTTGGTCCACAGGGCACCTTTAAGTTTTTATATGTCCACTTACACTAGTAGCGTAAATATAAAAAAGGAGGCACATTTACTCAAGTACTGGGCTTAAATACACACTTTTGAGGAAGTTATTCTATGCAACTTTAAAAATGTGACGTTCACTACACCTCACTACATATTTACTGTCGGGAATAAAGACCTTTTTACACAACTGTATTGCTGTGCTGCACAACTTACTTTGCAGATTCAGATGTTACATGCAACCCATTTGATTGCCTTCATAATTTGCTCCACCTCAACCTCGCTGCTTTCGTGTTAATACAGCAATTATAGTGATGCAGTACTATAATAACACAGACCTCTAAAAGAAGCCATTCTGTGTAATGAGTTCTTTTACTTTTGCTACTTTAAGTGCTCTTGTGACTAATCGGAGAGGAAGATTACCTTGAGCTTCTCCCTCCTGTTGCTCTGGGGGCCGTTCCACTGCACTATGGCTTTCCCCATATCCAGGAGGAATATATCTCCGGTGTTAAAGCTGTTCCACGACACCTCCACCTGCGAACAAACGTCACGAACTTCAGCACGATGGAGGGTTATCGAGTAATTTCCCTTTATTCAAATGGACAGCTTATCGTGTCATAAAACGCTCAGAGAGAAACAAATACTGTTAACATAGGGAAATATTAAATAACTGCCACACAGTCTTAGCGCTCCTCAGACAAATAACACCTACTTTGACAGCGATATCAACAAGCATGCCATTTTCTTTTTTTCTTTTTTTTTTTTTTAATATATAAAAGGGAGTGTCAACACGGTGGCTGTGTGAAGCCTGTGTTGTCTCCAGTGGGAAGTCCTGGGCCAGGCAGTACCTCCCAGTCATTAATCCCCGTCACAGCCCTTTATATTCCTCTCTGTATACCTCTGCGGCTGTGACGTGCTTCCTCCCTTTGACGTGCAGTAGTCGCAGGACATTGTAGACATTCGTGTCAACGTGGTGAAAGCCCGAGGCCACGCCACCCTTCTTGTAGCTGAGGAGAGATCGGTATACTGCACATGAGCAAAGTTCAAGTGTAATTAAAAAAAAAAAAAATGCCAGTATGCAGTAGTGAATGAATGCAAAAAAAAAAAAAAAAAGCACCAGGGAGGATTTATTGTTTGTTAATTTTGAAATTCACCTTAACGTTTCATGAGCATGAAGCAAAAAACACAACAGGAAGTTGAAGGTTAATTCACTGGATGAGAGAAAATTGTGTTTTTCTTTGCTGAGCCTCAACAAGTGTGATTTGTGTCGTAATGATTTCATACAGAGGGATTAGTGTTGTAAGCCACGTCTGAGGAAGATTACAGCATAAGTGTGTGTGTGTGTGTGTGTGTGTGTGTGTGTGTGTGTGTGTGTGACTCCTTCTCTTTATTTGGTCACCGCCAACTTCTAGTTCACATACCAGCCCCTTTTTCTTTGACTCACATGAGGCCATTTTTGAAGTAGCTCCTGAAGCGGGGTGACTCACTGCCCTGCACCTCCCTGTGCTGCACCGGACTCCCACCCAGGTATTCGTCCAGCTGGGTGACGTAGATGGCCGCTGCACCTTGCTCGTCCTGAGAGGAGGACTTTCCTATCCAGTAGTGAATGTCAGCAGACTGGCCCGAACCCTTGCCCTGACTTATCTGGTGAGAAGCATGAAAAAAAAAAAACACAGGAGTTTTAACACTTGCACATACATACTATCCAGGTATTAATGCTGAGCCTAACTGCAGCCTCTTGGGAAATCAGCCAGCATTGTACTCACATACAGAACAATGTAACAGTCTCCCTCAAAGAAGTTACCAAAGCCTTGGGCTGGAACAGGCACCATCTGCATGTTCTGAATAACGACAAAAACATGTTAAATGTTGGGAAATCTTACACAAAAGTAAGATTTCAGCATGCCGCACCTGGAACCAGTAATGCCCACATTCACAGTAACGTGGGTTGCATGATATTTGTTTTAGGGGCTGACTCACATTGATGGTCCATATCTGCAGGCCTGGCTTTCGGCTGACACTTCTAAATGCGTCTTGATTGTCATCGCTCATCATTCTGCTGAACTGAAACAAATGAACATATAAAGCAAAAAGCAATGAGATTCTCATTTGGGTTTTTTTGCATACGCCAAACTCAGTTTCTCTCAAGCTTTATGTAGGCTTACAGTTCCAAAAAAGTTGGGATGCTGTGTGAAATGTAAATAAAAACAGAATGATTTTTCAAACATTGACACCCCATATTTAATTGAAAAGAGCACAAAGACAACACATCAAATGCTGAAACTGAGAAATTTCATTGTTTCTGGGATCTGAGACCCAATTGCTTTAATTTTGAAAGTGGAATGTTTTCCCATTCATGCTTGATGTAGGATTTCCACTGCTCAACAGTTCGGGGGTCTCCTTTGACGTATTTTAAGTTTCATAATTCGCCAAACATTGCCAATAGGCGACAAGCACGTGCAGAATGTGAAAAAGACGCCGTCTACTTGGCAGCATATATTGCTCCAAAAACCTGTATATATCGTCCAGCATTAATGGTGCCTTCACAAATGTGCAGGTTACCCATGCCACGTGCACTAATGCATCCCCACACCGAGCCGGACGCTCCCGCTCCTCTTTAGCCCGGAGAACGCGGCGTCCATGATTTCCAAATGTCGACTCGTCAGACCACAGGACAGTTTTCCCACTTCGCCACAGTCCATCTTAAATGAGGTCGGGACACCAGAGTACGGTTTCCTCTTTGCATGGTGGAGTTTCATCTTGCGTTTGCGGAAGCAGCGACGAACTGCGTTCACAGACAATGGGTTTTTTTTGGCAGAGTTCCTGAGCCCGCGCAGTGATTTCTTCAGATTATCTGAATCTTTTAATGATATTGTGTTTTGTAGTCAATGAAATCTCCGAATTCTTTGCAATTTTACGTTGAGAAACATTGATTCTTATTCTTAAATGTTTCAGAGTAGTGGCACCTCCCCGTTTTCACTTCAGGAAGACTAGGCCTTTCTGGGATGCTGCTTTTATATCCAATCTCACCTGTTGCCAGTTAACCTAATTAATTGTGAGATGTTAATTACGTGAATACTGTTTCTGATGGTGAAGCATAATTTAAACTAAAAGGATCTGTGATCAATGGTGGACTGTAGCTTCGCACGTTTACTTATGTATCGTACTTTAGCAGTTTTAAGCCTACTTCCGGTTCCTGTTTTGAGACATTTTATATTTCTAGTTTGCTACTTTTCACTACTTTAATAAACTTTTATTTTATTGTTTGTTTGTTTTGTTTTTTTTAAACTTTTTTTTTAATTTAGCCACATAGGCCTTTTACATGTTATATAGTATAGGTAATATTTAAGTATATTTGCATTGTTGCATTGCTGGTTTTATTTAAACCTGCAATAAGTATCAAACACTTTTGTTTGTCACAGATCTTATTTGCTGCAATAATCCAAAAGCCAATGTAAAAATCCCATTGGCTTTTTGTCCAGGGAACCAGGATGATGCTAACTTCCGGGTTGGCCTAAAAAAGTACGTCATCAGCAAACAGTTTCCTGTTTACACATCCAACAGTTACAGAGCAATGTTAGCATTAATTGGAGCTGTGTGTTTGGCTTCTTGATAAATGTAAGTCCAACATTTTAACTCTCTTTAAGCTCTGTTTTTGGTTTACAACTTTTGAGGGAAACATCTGGCTATTTAGCTGCTAAGTGCTCCACTATGTTCACCAGTTAGTCGTTACGTTTGTCAGTCTGCGGTCGGTGGTGTTACAGTAAGTGCTGTACAAATGGTTTTTAGCCTTTTTGCTAAATGGCTGCCTGTTGCGCAAAACGATGCAATGAGAGCAATAAGAGTGAATCAAAACAATGAGGTTGCAGACAGGAAAACCAAAACAGTAAGCTGAGAACTCAGATTTTCATACTTCTTTCACCATTGCTTGTTTCAAACATTTTTAAATATGGGTTAGAACCTTAAATAGTGCATTAGAAAACACATGTTTGATAGAAACTCCAAGTACTTGAACCAAAAAAAATGTAGCTTTGAGACCTCCTCGCTGCTCATCCTGAAGAGTTTTCTCTTCATTGGAAACAGATGTCTCTAAAGTGACAACTGAACCATTTTAAAAGATTGGATCACTGACAGCGAAACACTTCTAATCCCCCTAATGAGTGTCAGCTTGGTGCCATAGCAACATTCAAGTTCTGCAATCAGCAGCGCTTAAACTGCCTCTTGACTCAGATATCAGAAACAACAGCACTGATGAACAAACACACTATCAGCAGCTGAGCCAAGAATATAGGCTTAGTGGTGACACGCTGTATGGAAACAGGCTCGGTGGGATGTTACACTGCTTGCAACATATCAGCAATGCAAACACAGTATCCATGCATACATGATATATTTGTCAATAGCTGGGGCGACGGTGGTTGCAGTTACCCTCCAGAAAAATAACCAAGCTATAATTCACGGCTCTTATATTGCTCTCTGCCTCAGAGTCTAATCATTACTCCAGGTTTAGTAATAGAATGTCTCACTGGGCAGTGATTAATGGGGTGGGTGGTGTTAAGGTGAGGCGAGATAGATCAGGTCAGCTGTACTCGACCAGGATGTTAACCACACCCTTATCAAAGCTCTGGTATTTAGGTATTCAGATAAAGAGGTGACACACACACACAAAGCAAACAGAAAAAAGATTGAGATTTAAATAAAATGACTGGGTTTAGGCTCTAGTTGGCTCCTGCTCAATCTGGCTTTTAGTGTGTGAGTCTGATGAGTGCTGAGAGGCAAAGACTGAGTCATGCTGAAATCATTTTACAATATCTTAAGAATGATATAATACATACAGTTGCGCTACAGTTAGTAGCTTTAAAGCAAAACTACTTAACTTTATACAAACAGTCACTGTGGCCAGCAGTAACAATTACAGAGTAATAGTGAAAGCCAAAACATAGTGTAACAGTAGCATTTAGAGAAGAGTCATAAAATCAGCCAACTGATGTAGAAATATCAGTTACATACCAATATCTACCTTAAGTTAGCAAACTTTATATTTAGCTAATGTTAGCCACCCTAAGCTACTGGTCATACCAGACCAAGTGAGGCTGTAGCAGCCAAAGTCCTGAGTGTACTAAATTGATTAAGGGTGTGTTTTGTTACTCATGAACTCAACTATTCTATAAATTAATTAAAAAAAAGAGGAGGATTATATCGTGTGTTCATTCAGCTACACAGTCTCACTTTAAAGCTAAACTGAAAGGTCTGCTAAAAGCTACCCAACACTGGAAGCACTACCTGTCTGCTTTGTATACAAATATCCTTGTTTCCAATTTGTCTAACATAGGCCTGCACTTACTGCCGGTACATATCATGCAATTAGTAATACTTTTGCATTAAGTGGCCTTCTCCTGTTTCTTCGGTGCTGTTCTGTCACTACATGTATGTCTTAAGTTACTGCAAGTGAAAATGAGCTTTAAGCTAACTCTGGCACAGTATATCAAAATAAAACATTCATGTTTAATATTGTGAATGCTTTCATTCAAAAGAATAAAATGAATGAAGCAGTAATCACCCCTCAAAATCACACGCCCTATTCACTAATTTATTTATTATGTGGGCAAAGTATGGGCCACACCCTGCAGGCATACGTAAAGGTAACAGCATTCTTTAGTAAGATTAAAGTAATAATATGGCAAAGTATATTTGGCTGACAAGACAAATCAAAGCAAACCTACTACTCACACAGGGTCTGACTCTCAACTGATGTAATTGTGATAAAATAACCAGTTACAAGAGTTTATTATCCAATTCAATTTCCCACAAAAACTGGATGAAGAGGAGAATAAGTATCCCTCTCCCCCACTTTGCTTTAATTCATTTATTTCATTTAATTGACATAATGACATGACTAAATGGCGCTGCTTATTGCCAGTTGTAGAAGACCTCGGCTGCAGTGGCAACTCCCTGTTGTGACGGGAAAATAACTATTGTATTGTGAAATCTGATCCCGCTCAGAACAGATGAAAAACCTGAGCAAATAATTTCTGACAAGATAAACTGAAGACCGGCCGTGTTTCCATTACTGTGACAGGAAAGACTGGTTGCACATCAATTAATCTGTGGAGTCCCCTGCCTCAGCGTACAGAATGAGATTTGTTAATGCTCTGAATACATCCTAAACTCCATTAATCTCCTGGTGTGTAGCTAATATGAAATTATGTAGGTTTAAAAACACTATATGAAGTCTGTTTGAAAGAATATTTATCAACAAATATGATAATAAGGATGCGATTCTTTCCAAATTGCAGTTATTCAGTTAAAAGAAATGAATGGAGAGCTTCACAATAATCTGAGGAAATATGATACCAAAACAAAAGTATGGGTCCTACCTTGTGTTGCGTCTGGCGGAGTGAAGGCCTGGCTGTCTCCTGCAAAGTTGTGGAGGTAGATCGGTGAGATGATGTCTTTTATGTAATAAAGTATCGCTAGGCTTTTCCTCCTGTGTGTACTCTGGAGTGTGTGTGCCAGGGAGGGCTGGATGTATTTATCTCCACACCCAGGTCTGAACACACCTGCAATTTCCTGTTGCGATATTTACAACACCGTAGCCTTAAATACGCCTCTTCTCACAGTTTCCCAGTTTTGTAGTGGAGATACTGGCTTGATTTTTGGCAGAATGACGGGATTTGGAAAATGCTTGAGAGAATCATCTGCAATTCCTGGGTTGAAATGGACCCCAGCGTCACTTGCAGTCCTGGCTTTAAGTAGCCAGCCGGAGTCGTGTGTTTACGTTCGAGTGAGCCCTCAGCAGCACAGTGGGCATTACAGGAGCCACTTGACACCAATTATTCATTTCACAACTGTTACAACTAGCAGATGGGGGACTTGGACTCAAGGAGCTCTGAGTGGTATTGGAAAGGAATCAGAGGCTTTCTGTGGCTAAATCTCTCATTCTGTGCCTACTCACACAGACACTCAAGGAGGAACGCTTGACATTATTGAAGGTTTACAGCTCTGGGCTTTGATCTCCCAGTGGAGAAGGCATTGGCAGCTTGTGTTTGCATTTGTTTGCTGACTGCAAGGATGTATTAACACACTGTATCCAAAGTGATTTGCACACTTTTTAAAGTAATAGAAAGGGAAAGTCTTTTTGCAGAGCGCGGATGTTAATCCGTCGTCAACACTGAATTGTATGTAAAGATACAAGAGAAATGAATTATGGGTTACTTGTTTTGTAGCTAAAGATAACCTTGAGCTATGAGAAAATGGCACATCAGAATTCAAACAGCCTGCTCTCATAAAGACTCCGTTATTTCCCCAGCAAAATCATCAAACGCTGCTTCTGCTGGCGCCCCCAAACATTTCCAGACTGTGCGAAGAATCTATAAACTTCTTTTGTTAAACATTGCAGTCAGAGCATGAATCATGGATCAGGCTGCTTGCTGATGTTTTCTGTTTGGGGATACACCTAATTACACTTGTCTTTGCCTTATATAGTTCACGCAATCCCTGCCAGGGAACCTGAAGAACACAATGTTATGTAACCAAACTAGTTTTCTTCTTTACCAACAGCTTCAAGTTAACAGACTTTTTCTTACCTTTGACCACGGCTTTTCATTTTTAGATTCCGTCCTGGGCTCCATTATGAAAATATGATCATTTCAACAACGTGGTGAACTTCAGTCCCCACATATCTGAGGGGCAAGTGGAAAGTTAAGTGTAAAAAAAAAAAAAAAAAAAAATTCTTCAGGCTTGAACAATAAGCTGTGTAATGCCTAATCCACTGCTGCAGTTGAAGTGGCTGCAACGTAAGCGGAAGCTGAAAACTCACATCAAGATATCACATGAAGCTAAGCTCCTCTTGGTTGCACATTAACCAGTGCATGTAATTTATGCACCTGCAGATCATTTAACCCTGCAGACAATGGAGCTTGACCCTTTAAAGAGAAGCTTAGTGTTTTTCTCTGGTAAAAATGTCCTTGAATTCAAAGCATATATTTAACCCATAAAATACCAGGATGTTGTTCAGCTGTTATTCAGCATTTGACAAATTCATTTTTGATCGAGCATCGTATTTGTTGCTTGATTAAAGTGCTGGAAGAAAATTATTTTATGCGTCCATACAGATTTTTCTAAATTACACATGGTAGACTGGCCTGACGATTCAAAGGAATTCAGTTGAGCAATTCAACAATCCCACATCAATGCAATGCAAATGCTCAACTAAAAGAATATGAAAAAAAAGGAGAAAAATAGAAACAACTAGTTATAACAATCTTAAGACAAAACAAGGTCCATTGAGTAGCTGTTCTGGATCTTTCATCACATCATATCTCTTATATCTTTCCCAGTTGTCATGTACAGAAATAGGCCTTTTTCACAGCTGACATTTTGACTTGTCATAGTAGGAAGAGCACAGGTCTTGCTAATGACTTTAATATCATTACAAATATATTCAAGCAAGTAAACCGCAGCAGCGTGACAGTGGGGCTGTGTACACAAATACTAGGACCCTGAAACTGAAGCAGCTAAATGGAATTCAGCCGTCATTTATTTGATCATTTACACCTGTGCTTTTCCAACTGTGACATGTTGAAATGTATTTGGTGAAACAGACCTATTATGTTCAAATGTCAATTTTTTTCTGAGATTTAAATCAACAAAACACATCTCCATGGCTCCTGAGTAAACTCCATCAGCTGATGACGATACGATCGAAAGCTCCAGATCAGCTACTAAATGGACCTCATGTGTGACACTGTTTTTGTCAACTGTTGTTTCCAAGGTCTAGAATGAACTTTGAACCTGAGACTTATGACAATTCAAAGTAAAATGCATTTTCAGATGTTTGAAAAGGCAACCAGCCCTTGGTGTGTCACTTAAACATGCATCTGATTTTCTACCCACTAGGGGGCAGCGGAAACAAGCCATAAAGACAACACTGACATATTCTCACCCTTTAAGTTGATATGGTGAACCAGGTAGCAAACAGTTGCTTATTTACACATCAAGAGGTCACATGGGAAATATTAGCTTTCATATGGAGTCGTGCTTGTGTCCAGCTGAGGGATGTAAGTCCAATAATCACTCTCCTTTTAGCTCATTTAGATGCTAAATGCTCCACCATGTACCGGCTAGTTGCTAACTTTCATGTGGTGCTGGGTAGGTAGTGTCCTCTGGATTATTAGGGCTTTTTTCCTGTATGAAAACAGCACCTGCCTTGGAAATGCCGCTGATGACACCAGTGGGCCTGAACCAAAACAGTGAGGCTGCAGGCCAGAAGACCTAAACAATGAGCTAAAAGATGCTAAAATGCTCAGTAGAGCTGCAGAGATGTGTGATAAATCAGTGTAGTTTCATCACTATGAGCGACACCTTTAAGTATGCAGACGTGATTCAGTGTTAATATAAAACTACTGATTATAACAGCTTTAAGTGTTGTTAAAGTCACACCACAATACAAACTGACAGTGTGCAAACTTGCAACTTTAATAATGTTGTACAGTACGATTTCAACAGCATTCTTTACAATGCACCCAACCCTCTTTTCCCCAATAAATAGAATTTTCATATCATCTAAGCTAATCATTATATTTTCCTCAAAAGTTTAACATTTATTGGTGGACGGTGATGTTCTTACAAAGGTTTCATTTTTTTTTCATTATAAAGTGGGGTTTCAATGTCTTGAAGGATCATCAATTTACAGTCACTGTCAAGGATCAAATGATGTCAATCAGCAACAAATCACATTGAATTGTAAAAATCTTTGGTAAATTTAACAATTCAATGTCACTGAACTCTAAAGCAACAAAATCATCCAAGTCTAACAGGCTAGTTTTTTATAAATTTCTCAGAATCAATCTTTTCATTTTCATCAGATTAAATGACACTTACCAAAGACTCTTTTTCAACTTCAATTTAAAGATTTACTTTATACGCTTTTTGGAGATTTGAGTAAATATGCAGCATAAAAATGTGCACCCCATAACCTGACACAACAAAATCAGCACAGTAATGAAGGCACTTCATTCTGTAAGAGAAGATAAATCACAGTTGTTTGAACAAAAGGTCAGACAAGAAAAAACAGCCTGCATAGCATAGCTCAAAACAAAAAAACAAAAACAAAAGGTCACCTATTCTCAGAAAAAAAACCAACAAAAAAACTCTTCATTCTGTGTATTTGATTATTTTTGGTAACTAAAATATTACTAGATAGAATAGTAAAACCTCATCTCTCTGATAGAAAAATTACTTTATGTATGTCTTGCTCTTAGAAACATATAGTATGTACATACAGTAATATAATCTTTTGCCAGTACGAGTCCTGTACAAAGAGTTCAAAAATCCAGAGATGGTGAGAATCCGTACAGAGGTTCTCTCTAGATTTGATTATAACCAGATAATTTGCCTGAAGTCCTCGGATCGGGAGCCACGCTGGGACTTCCAGGGCCGGTCGGACGGTGGGAGCCGGGGCTGCGGGGCCGTGGCAGCGAGGTGAGGCCTCTGTGCAGCGGGGGCCGAGGCAGGAAGGGACCAGCTGGAGCTGTCGTCTGCTACCTGTTCCTCAGGCTCTGTAACAGACTGTAAATGTCCTCCTCCTTACTGAGGCCCTCGAACAGAGGAATCAGGTCCAGCAGCTCTGTGTCCGTCATGTCGTCAAACCAGGACTGCACCGGGACCTGTGGGGGGGGGGGGGGGGGAAACAGAAGAAACAGAGAGAGAGAGAGATAGAGAGACAAGATTGAATTTATATGATCAAGGGAGAAAACGCAGCAGTCAGTTGATGCTAAAATGTTGCATTATAGGTGAGGAGCTGGTGCGAGTTTTGTGTAAATAATTAATGGGGGAAATACATCAAAGGCACAAGGACTGGCAGCAGCTCCACTGAGCGACTTCTCCACAGAGGAGGGAAATACCATAAAACTGGGAACACTGCCTCTGGCTCCAAAAACAGCTATGCAGATCAAAACTGTGACAACCGCTCACAGATATGATCGTTTACATCATTATTAACTTTACGACTAACTTACCCCTGCTCCACAAGTGTATTTTGAACCTGTTTTTAGTCAGGATTTTTCGGGGCATCTGATTTCATTGTCGCCCCCATTCACAAAGCAGCCATCTCAAGATCGAGTGACGTTTGTGGAATTTTTGCAACTGCGGAAACGAAAGCAGTAAGACTCCTGGGTCAAGCACAAACAAAAGAGTGAGATCAAATTTTTCTGCACCATGTACCTAAACGCAACACCCAGCCCTCCCTCGCCTCTATGAGACCGTTTTAACATGTGCAACTGTTCAAATGGACACAGAACGCTGCCAGTCAAGTACAATGAAGGTTTAAGGTCGAAAATATCGAGCGGAGAAACGACTCACTGCATTCTCAGGGTGGAAGATGTAGGAGGCAGGTGAGTTGTCTATGATGATGACCTTACTGAGCTCTCGGCCCAGCCGGCTGAGGTCTTTGACATAGTTTCCTCTGTGGAAAACACATGATTCCCTGAAGAGCCGGGCGCGAAACACCCCCCACTGGTCCAGCAGATCTGCCACAGGGTCAGCGTACTGAAAGCAGACAAACATCGGGGGAGGGGGGGGGAGGGGGGTTGTTGATACAGCGAATGTATGGAAACATTAATGCGACTGTGAAAACGGTGGCGTAACCCGAGAACCGACCTTGGCTAAGCTCGCCGTGAAGAGGACACATTCGAAGAGCTCCCCCATCTTCTGGAGGAACTCGTCCACGTGGGGCCTCTTCAGCACGTACACCTGAAACGAGACATTATATGACTCTGTTAGAAGGTATTTGTTGTCGCACTTTATCAATTTTGTTGTTGTTTATCGGCCAATGAAGCTGCTGCCGGTTCATAAACGCAGCCAATTTCATTTCACGTCAGACCTTATAGATGTCACAGACGGGTTGGATCACTGTGATGAGCTGTTATATTCATAATTCTAATAAAATGCATTTTATAACAGACCATTTAGGTGAACCTAAAATCTATACGTTACATAATTTGTCATAAATCTTGAATGTGGTTATTCACATCAAAAAATGTCTCACACCTCCAAATCACTCAAGTCATCCAAAGAAATGAACAATAAATCCACATTTAATGCTAAAAAGAGTTAGATAAAAGCAAGTGGCATAAACAGCATCGTTTTTGTCTGGGAACGATACACAATTCCAGATTTGAATAAAACATTTGTTGATTTTAAACCGCTTCATTTAGCTCTCGTGGGGCTGCTTTTGTTGAGACGTCATCCAGCGACTGAGAAGTTTGGCTTCTTCTTTTGTGAAACAGATATTACTTTTACGCTCATGTTTGCCATTTTCATGCCATCAGCAGTCTTTCATCGTCCTCTTCGGTCGGTGTACCTCTGCGTTAGTTGCTGCCCCCAAGTGCAAGTAATCAAGCATAGGCCAAAGCAGATACAGAAAGCCTATCCTGGATTACTTGAACCAGGTTACAGCTAAGTTATAGCTTCTTCTGCTTCAAACAGGACACAGAAAACAAACCTTTGACATCAATATACTGAAGGAACACAAGCGCGCCGTCTCTTGTCTCAATGCGAGTGTAAAGAGCGCCTCTGTTCCTTACTCTCTGTTCTTTCTCCCACACACACACACACACACACACACATTTATATGCAGTGAAACATCTCTTCTGCTGCACACTCAACAGCATCTTCATCAGGCAACTTG